TGTTGTTGTTGTTATGTTTTGTCGAGTCAGACCCAACTCACAGTGACCCCTCCTTGGGTTTCCAAGGCAGTATCACTATGGAAGTAGATTGCCCAACTTTCTTTCTGAGGAGTGGCTAGTGGTTTTGAACCGCCAGCCTTCTGGTTAGCAGTCAAGTGCCTTAAGCACTACGCTACCAGAGCTTCCTGATATATATATATATGTGTACATATATATATATATATATATATATGTATATATGACTCATAATGGCCCCTCCTTGGGTTTCCAAGGCAGTATCTCTACAGAAGTAGATTGCCCAATCTTCCTTCTGAGGAGTGGCTGTTGGGTTTGAACCATCAGCCTTCTGGTTAGCAGTCAAATGCCTTAGGGACTATGCTATAATAAAAAAGATGGACAATAATAAGTATTGATGAAGATGTGGATAAATACCATATAATATAGTAATTCCATACCTAGGATTATACTCAGGAGAAATGAAAACATATATTCATATATTCATAAAAACTTGTACATGAATATTGGTAGCAGTATTATTCATAATATGTAAAAACTGGAAGCAACCCAAATGTCCATCAACAGACTAATGGATGAATAAAATGTAAAATATCCATGCAATGAAATATATTTATCCATAAAAGGGAATGAAGTACTGATAAATGCTTCAGAGTGATGAACCTTGAAAACACTATGCTAAGTGAAAGAAGCCCAATACAAAAGGCCACATATTGTATGATTACATTGATACAAAATGTATAGAATTGGCATATCTTTAAAGACAGAAAGTAGATTAGTGGTTGCCAGGAGCTGGTTGAAGGGGAGCTGAAGGATGACTGTCAATGGGCATGGGGTTTCTTTTATGGGTCATGAAAATGCTTTGGAATTAGATAGTGGTGATGATTGCACAACTCAGTAAATATACTAAAAAACACTGAATTGTATACTTTCAAAGGATGAATTTCATGGTATGCAAATTATACCTCAACAAAGTTATTATGAAAAAAATGTTTGGAGAGTTATGACAGTTTTCAGAAACCTAAAAATATTGGCATTGTGGTACTAATCAAATTTATAATTCTTGCAAATAAATTCTTGCCTGATTTTCAGATACCATTGATCAAATGGTTGTCTTTCATAGGTCATACAAAAAAGTAAATGCTACATATCTCATTAACTATGAACTAAAATGACTTCCTGGTCTCCTAGGCTAGTGAGGATCTGGGAAGAGAGAGTTAGCTTAACCAAATTAAGGGAAAAGGTCACAACAGAAGATGGAAGAATGGTTTTAAAGATAGAAAAAGAAGAATGGAAGGTAAGTTTTAGAGAGGTGATATTCAATTTTCCGTATTTTTTATTTTGGGGGAGAATTCAGAAAATGATTTTGAAATTATGTAACTAATTAAGACCAACAGTTAGAAAATCTAATTTAAAAAGATGTAAATTAATTTGGAAAGACTGGCATATGAGCTGAACATTTACATTAGGTTAATACACTCCTTGGAGAGATCAATCATGGGAGAATAGAAGGGCTTGATATGTACGGGGAGACAGGTTGGGGGGCAGAAATGCATGGGAAGGAAGGACATGTGGAAGAGGTAACTATGGAGAGGAAGTGGGAAGAGAGCTGTTGCATTGTGGGAAATTGCAGTCAGTATCATGAGACAAAGTGCACGTGAACTGCTGAATGGAAGATGAATTTGCTCTGTAAACTTTCACCCAAATCACAATAAATTTTTTTAAACAATGTAAATTAATTTGGGCAACATGACATTTTTTTTTCCTGCAAAATCTAATCATTTTGTCTCTGCCCTGGCTAAACACTAAGTCATTTGTAATCATTTCCCTTTCTAATCCTTTTAATAAGCAATTTCTCATTTTTCATTAAAAATTAAAAGATGACACCTGTCTACTTACAATCACTTAGCATTTCCAAAGCAAATGCTCAGTGAAAATGTCACAAAATGGCAACTGATATTTTTTCTTAGGTCTGCCATAATTCGGTCTCCCTTTCTCTCTCATGCATACACGCACACACACTCATACACAGTTGCTTAATTACTTTGACAGGCTCTAATTTTTTATAAGGGCCTCTACCCTTCCTATGGAGTTTTTGGGTGGTGTGAATGATTAACATACTCGGCTGCTAACCAGATGTTGGGAGGTTCAAATCCAACAAAAGGCACCTCAGAAGGAAAGCCTGGTGACCAACTTCCAAAAAATCAGCTATTGAAAACCCTGTGGAGCACAGTTCTACTCTGACACACAGAGGCTCACCGTGAGTTAAAATGAAATCATTGGCAATTGGTACTGGTAACCTTTTGTTTTCTCTTCTGGCTTTTATAGGTTGAAAGGGAAAAGTCATAGAATTCAGAATAGTTGAAAGTTTGAAAACATAAAATCCTTCAAAACAGGAATGGAAGAGATTGCAATTATTTTTTGGTTTCTCTGTGCTTTCAATTAACAACATATTTCCATTTTCAATAGCATATGCACTCTAGGAAAACCAAATACAAAACAATTTTTAGGACATAGTTCTGTTTGTTCACTATTGACCAAAATACATTATTTTTGTTTATTCTGATTGGGTTTTGAAAATTTAGCCAAAAAAAGAAAAAGAAAGAAAGAAAAGATCTTAAAATGTAGAAATAACACAAAGCACTTGGAAATATAATCTATTAAAGAGAAAGATTGCACAATGCTTTGAAAAATAAAAAAATTATTGCTACAAACACAGAAGTAAATCCATCCATCTATGGGCAACTGATTTAGACAAGCAAATTCTATTCAATGGGGAAGAAATTGTCTCTTCAACAAATGGTGCTGGCAGAACTGAATATCCATTTGTGGAAAAATGAAACAGGATCCATACCTTACACCATACACAATAACTCAAAATAGATTAAAGATAATCGGGACCTCCTAAAAATTAAATACTTATGCTCATCAAAAAACTTTATTAAAATAGTAAGAGAACCTATGGACTCGGAAAAAAAATCTTTGGGCATGATATATCTAATTATACAGAAAACTTTAACAACTCAACAACAAAAATACAAACAATCCAATTGAAAAATGGGGAATGGTCATGACAGACTCTTCATGAAAGAGGACATTCAAGTGGCCAACAAACACATGAAAAGATCCTTGCAACTGTTAGCCATCAGAGAGATGAAAATTAAAACTTCAATGAGATACCATCTCACTCCTGCAAAAATAGCACTCATCAAAAAAACCAAAAACAACAAATGCTGGTGAGGTTGTGGGGAGATTGGAACACTTATCTACTGCTGGTGGGAATGTAAAATGGTGTAACCATTATGGAAAATGGTATGGTGCTTTCTCAAAAGTTTAGAAATAGAAATACCGTATGATCCAGCAATCTTACTCCTAGGTATATACCCTAGAAATCTAATAGCAGTGACACGAATAGATATATGCATGCCTATTTTGGTAATTGGGATCTCTGGTGGTGTAATGCCTAAGGCACTTGACTGCTAACCAGAAGGCTGGTGGTTCAAGCCCACCATCCGCTTCTCAGAAGAAAGGTTGGGCAATCTACTTCTGTAATGATACTACCTCGGAAATCCAAGGAGGGGTCACTATGAGTTGTCAAGAAGACTTAACAGCACATAACAATTGTGGTAGTTAAGGTTGTGTGTCAACTTGACTGGGCCATGATTTTGAATGGCTTGGCAGTTGGATGTAGTTATTCCCCATGATGAGATTGCATGTTGTATAATCACTTCCATGGTGGAATCTGCTGTGAATAGTTAATCAGTTGAAGGAGAGCTGCCTTCAAGGTGTAGCCTGCTTCCAGTATATATTGAAAGGATCCTGCATTTTGTTGAGTCTTCATCTCTAGTGAGCCAGTGACCTGCTATGTTGCCTAACGGTCTTGGAATTGTTGCCTTTGCAGCCTGTGAGCCAACAATCTGCCATTTTACCTGCTGACCTTAGATTCATCAGCATCAGCAGCCAGTAGCTGTGTGAGTCAAGAGAAGCCTCTAGCATGCTCCAGTGGGGCTGGAAGGCAGAGCTGAAGCCAGGAGTTGAGGGGCCTCTACCCAGGCCCTGGGGCTGGCTCTCTGAACTCAGACTTCTAGCCTAGTCTTCCCCTAGAGCTGGCTCTCTGAATTTAGCCTTTTAGTCTCCTAAACTGGAAGAGAAAAAATTTCTGTTGTTTTGAAACCATCCACTTGTAGTAGTATTTCTGTCATAGCAGTGCTACAGAACTAAGACACCTATGTTCGTTGAAACATTCTCAATAGCAAAAAAAAAAAAAAAAAGGAAAAAATCTAAGTGCCCGTCAATGGATGAATGTATAAACAAAATGTGGTATACATATACTTTGAAATACTACAAGTTATAAAGAATAATGATGAGCTTGCAAAATATCTTATAACATGGATGCATCTGGGGGACATGATAGTGACTGAAATAAATCAAGCACCAAACAAAAATATCATATGAGCCCATTTTTATAAAAAAGACAAAAAGGTCTTTTTTATTTAAAAAAAAAAAAAAATGGATACACAAATCAACATTCTTTGGTATACCAGGGATAGGAAGGGGAAGGGAGGAAGTCACTTTCTAGATAGTAGACACAATCTAGATGGAACAGAAAATACCAAATGAGGATGAAGTCTGCAAAACTTGACTAAGGTAAATGATGACACTAAGAAGTACATAAGAATAAGGAATACTCTTACAATCTATACATTCAATACAATGCTAATCCAGATCCCATCAACATTCTTTAAGGATATAGAAAAACCAATCACTAACTTTATATGGAAGAGGATATTCAGGCGGCCAACAAACACGAAGAAATGTTCACAATTGTTAGTCATTTTGTTGTTGTTGTGTGCTGTTGAGTCGGACCCGACCCATAGCGACCCCTCCATGGGTTTCTGAGGCAGTATCACTACAGAAGTAGATTGCCCAACCTTCCTTCCGAGGAGTGGCTGGTGGGTTTGAACCGCCAGCCTTCTGGTTAGCAGTCA